GACTCATTTCCATTTGTTTTGTCCTCCTCCCTTGGAGGATGCTGATAATGACTTTCTTATGTATGTGTATGTATTTTCAAGTAGCCTGTAAAATATTTAGCCTGCGGACTTCCTTACTCCTTTTGTAAAAGAAAGATCCTCATAAATATCGAAAGAGTCAATGTGGTATAGTGGTTTGAACATTGGATGACTGGAGACAGATTTGAATTGCAACTTGGCCATGGAAACCCACTAAGTGACCTTGGGCAAGTCACACATTCTCAGCTTCAGAGAACGGAAAAAGAAAACCTGCTCTGAGTAAACCTTGCAAAGAAAACCCTTCAATACAGTGGTTCTCAGCCTATGTGTCCCCAGATGTTTTGGCCTTCAACACCCAAAAATCCCAACAGCTGGTAAACTGGCTGGGATTTCTGGAAGTTGTAGGCCAAAACACCTAGGGACCCACAGGTTGAGAACCACTGCTTTAATAGGTTTGCCATAAATCTGAAAAAAATAATAATCTTGAAGTCTGACAACAGGAACGACATAAAGGTTGATGAAAGTGCAACAGTGTGTTTCTTAAACTAATTAACTCCTCATATCTGGAAGGAGCCTTATTATTTCACTGAGATTCTGTGAAACCATTCTGTATTGGTGGAAGTGACTGGCAGGAATGGAACCATGCCAATTATTGGTAGAGTAGTTCCAAAAAGGATGCTAGAACTTTCTTGGCTTCTAGACTTTTATTTTATTTGAGCTTCAAAATTGTCCAGATGATAAGTGGTACTATATATATGAAATATTCCTAGTGATTAAAAAAAAACACCAGCACAGGAAGCCATGTTAGTCCATTGCAGCAAAAACAACGTATTGTGGGACTTTATAAAGATCCAGCAGTTTTTACAGATTTTATCAGATACACTGAACTCTGGGGGTATTTCCGAGTAGAGTTGCATAAGACAGCATTGTAATACTAAATATCATTTTTCTTATTGTTCACGAATATGCAAATTAGTTGTATACAAAGGTACAAACAACTAGATAATAAGTCCCACTGAACTCAGGCCACCATCTATACTGACCATTTGATGCAGTTCAAAGCTAGTTTCAAACCATGATGGCCAGACAACAAACTCCCTTAAAAGCACCCAAAAGAATGCCATTAATGTGTGCATTGGTGCTCTGTGGTTTGTGTGTTCACCATCAGGGCCTCAAACTGGTTCCGGGATGTCTTGTGTAATCATCTGCACAATAAAACCACTTTCTGTAATAACGGCTTGAAATTGCATTAAATAGTTAGTGAAGATGGGGGTCTCAGTAAAACTTACATCTGACTAGGAAAGCTTCAAATCACACTGTAAAATTGCTTCATGCATAGGAATCTCAATGATGGATCATTCTTCAGCAATATTCAAAGCAAAGGGGATTTTTTTTTCATAAAATCTTCCTTAAATCAGAGGAACATTGTGTTTTCAAGAGCTTTCAACAAATACAGCCAAAAAAGTGAATTGATGAAGACTCATTAAGTGATTTGACACAGATGGTGTCAGCCTTTAAGGGTTCTTCTTGATGGAAGATGTGTGTGTCTGTTGTATACACAGACATGTGCTGCGCATCTGACACCTGCAGGCCATATGGCAATTGGGAAGTGTGCCAGTCCTCCATGTTGCATGGTCCCTATGAACTTGTCCAAACAGCAGTTCAAGACATTTGTGAGATCAGGCCAGAAGGAGAAGCATGATTCAAATGAGATCAAAAGGGCACAGTGTCAGAAAACTTCCACAACACTGTAAACCTCATCATTTCTGATACTGCTTTTCATATTTAGGTTGTTTGCTAAATGACTAACTGAAAGTATAGCAAGCTATTCCCTGATTGCTGCCATCTGCTATTTATCGGTTTAACTTGTCATATTTTGAACTTAGGAAGGACGAAGGTTCATATCTCCAAGAAGGAGGGAATGAAAATTGCCACAAGGAATAGCCTCCCATGTCTAAAAAGATCAAGGGACTGCAAAATGCTGCCAGAAGGGGGCAATCAGTTCTTTTCCAGACTCAATATTGTTTTCTCCAGGACTGCAACAGAAAAAAAAAAAAACATGTTGCCTCACAAATGACAGAGAAAGAAAGGCACACACTAGCAAGCAGGCACACACACACAAGTGGATGCCCATATTCCCAACAAACCGCTTTTTGAATTCCCTGCTGCCCTGCCATAAATTGAGAGATGGACAAAGACAACTAAAAGACAGTGTGTGATGTTTCTTGAACAGTAGCAAGTGAGGGGCAAACGAAAAGTATAGAGCACAGCTCCTCAAAGTGGTGGTCCATGGATCAGTCCAGAAGACATCAGCTGCTGGTCTTTCCATGATGGAAAGACACAGTTGTTTCAATGAACACTAACAGGTACTGGTCCTTGCCAGATTTGTAACAATTGCTAGTCCCCCCGATTGAGATGCGCTGCTAGAGAGAATTACAAAACCTGAACATGAGGAAGAACTTTCTAACTGTGAGAGCTGTTCAGCAGTGGAACTCTCTGCCCTGGAGTGTGATGGAGGCTCCTTCTTTGGAGGCTTTTAAACAGAGGCTGGATAACCATCTGTCAGGGGTGCTTTGAATGCAATTTTCCTGCTTCTTGGCAGGGGGTTGGACTGGATGGCCCACAAGGGCTCTTCCAACTCTATATTTCTATGAAAACTGGAAGTTTGATGGATGTCTGTAAATACCAAAGAGTATATAATCTTCAGACCAGTTCTCAAACTCTAAGACCCTTTCCAACTGTGGTAATCAATGGATTAGTCACATACCGCAAACATTCAAAAATGAAAATGGAATGTTCACTCTAAAAAGTAAGTGTGGAATAGCCCGTGGTGTTGTAAAATTATGCCTTTCACACAATGTGTGCTTGTTCTTTTGTTAGTACCTCCAGTGTATTTAAGGATCTCCTCCACCACATTTTATCATCTCAAAAATCAAGTGAGGTAGGTCAGGCTGAGAGAGACTGTCTGGCCAAAGGTCACCAACACTCAAAGACTCTGCGTGGATGTGAATCTGGATCTCTGAAGCCCAACAAATAACAAGAGCCAAATCATGCTGAACACTTGAACTTAATTTGGACAAGGCTTTTACTTTAGGTAAAGGTAAAGGTTTTCCCCTGACTTTAAGTCCAGTCGTGTCTGACACTGGGAGTTGGCGCTCATCTCCATTTTTAAGCCAAAGAGCCGGCATTGTCTGTCAACACCTCCAAGGTCATGTGGCCAGCATGACTGCATGGAGCACCATTACCTTTCTGTTGGAGTGCTACCTATTTGCATGTTTTTGAACTGCGAGGTTGGCAGAAGCTGGGGCTAACAGCAGGAGCTCACCTGCAATCTTTCGGTCAACAAGTTCAGCAGCTCAGTGGTTTAACCCACTGCACCACCGGGGGCTCCATGCTTTTACTTTACAGACAGCTGTATATATGCTTTACAGCACAGCTATATATGCTTGCTTATAAAACATGACAGATGTGCAGTGTGGTTCTAAGCATTGGTTGTTCACGGAAATTAGGGTCCATGCAGTTGCTTTGCAGTGTAGCCCAAAAAACTTGTCTCTGGAGACATATAATGTAAATTCTCTAACTGTCTGCAGTAGGAAAAATGGAGTTGGACAACATATTAATGGTACATATGACAAATAGGACTCTGGCTGGCTAATTGGTATAGCCCAACAATATAGATCTGTACAATCTCTATTCTGAAATTAACATACAAACTAATCATTATAGCGAGTTTCCCATGCAGTCATAAAAAACTGATATGGACCAGGGACTATTCTTCTAGTCCAAGAATGTCAACATTTCTGCCTGTAAAAATGCCCTGCCACTTTATTTACAAACAAAGCAATAGGCTGGTGAAAGAGAGAAAGAGAGACAAGAAGAGAGAGTGGCTACACTGCAGGTGGCATCCCTATTTTGTACTGTACACCCCATGATGGGAATCTCAATAAGTCACACCACCAATGTCACTTAGGAGTATAACATGGCAAGGTTTTGGTACCTTTAGAAGAATTGGAGCTTTGGTGCTGTCAAAGACAGCTAAAGGTACAAGAACCGACTGATTTAATTCTGCATGTGGGGTTAAAAGGCACATTGAGCAAAGAACGTACTGAGATGCCCCTCAATTGCCACAAGCAAGAATGTTGTCATTATATACATCTGTGGACAAATTTCTGGAAGAACAGTATAAAGATCTGGTAGCTAACTGAAACAGAGGGAATTATTTCAGACAGTTTTATAAAAGCTGTCTGGAAAGGTAAGTGAAACCAGAATTCTCCAAGAATGCTGTCCTGTATTCATAAGATAGAAAGGAGGAAAGCATGCTTCCCTCTGCATTCTCTCACTTTCCCATCCCCAACCTTACTTCACAAACATTTCCAAACTTATAGAACAGTCTTTACCAACCAAGGGTCACCATATGTGTTGGACTTCAACTTCTATGTTCCTCTGCCAACATGCCATACTTGCTTAGCATGATAGGATTTATAGTTCAATGCAACAAGGGGATTTGGAGAGAGCTGTTCTAAAGCTGAATTGCAATGCAGCATATACATCAAAAGCCTGAGATCAATACCAAAGAAAATATTTGGGGGAAAAGGTAGATGATATAATGTCTCCTCATTCATTGCATAAATGTTCATTCCCTTATTGGCTCTATTCACAGGTTTTACAGAACTGAGCACTAGCACTTTGGAAATCTATGGAACCTATTTCACCAGAGACATTAACTAAACAAAATAAAGCAGTGTAGAGAATCTGCCCTTCTATCCTGTTACCCTCAACTCTTGTCTGTTATCAGCCTAAAAGGTGTGAAATGCTGTTTTATCAATGATGGTAAAGATGAAATATTCTAAAATCACGGCTGCACAATGAGAAACATTTGCTTTTTTTCTCAACCACCCAGCAAATGCAAAATAATACTCCTCACCACACACACAAAAAATCATTGTCCATGCAGGATAACAAATAAAAGCAAAATCACTTACCTGAAGTTATTGTTTCATTGTTGCACTGGAACAAGCTCTTTGTTTCTGCCTTTCCACTCCTCTTCCAGTTTGCAATCTTGTATAAAGAAACACTTTCTCAAAGTAACTCTTTTAGAAGGACAGAATCAACCCAAATTACAGAGTTGCCCCTTGTCTTAGGACATTCCACATGTTTGATGGAGTTGATGAGCCATGCTTCAGTTTCAAAATGTGACTGACACAGTCCCAACCCCACAAAAGCTGGATGCTCAGTTAGATACTGAATGAGCGAGAGAGAAGGAGGGGGAGTGTGTTTAGCAAACAGCAAAGCACGGGGAGAGGGGGGAGTGAGAGACAGCGGTTGCCTCTGCCTTTCATAGACTGCTCAGCCATTCAAGGCTTTTAATATAGCAGAAGGTCCTAGGATGGCTATAGTGGCTGCCCTCTGCACAAAATACAGGCTGTAGACAGCATGATCTGCCTCATCTCCCAGGGATTCAGTCGATCACAGCTGTGTCACTCTCTGGCACTAGCAGCTTGACACCCCTGGGCAAGTCTTTCTCTTCTTTGTGCTATTAATCATGACTGCTGTGCTTTATGTAACACACACTTTTTTAACAAGTAGGGATTATCTTTTTCCAGTTGCATCTGCAATAACATTTCTAGGTCTGCCTGTACAGACACTTGCTGCAGTTTGGGATGCTTAGGGTAAGTCTCATCGAGTGTAAAGAAGTGGTTCCACATAACACCAGCAGTAGAATAGCTAATTCAAATGATATAGTCTAATGGTTAGAGGGCTGGTCTGGCTAGGGAGTTAAACCCCAAATGACTTATAAATCTTCGTGGATGACCTTGGGTCTCTTCTCACTTATAAGAGGATTGTTGGGAAGATAAATTGGAAGGATGAAGAGATTTGTAAGTTGCCCTGTTTTCATTGGAGGGGAAAAATACATAAAGGTAGCAAATGAATACAGTGGAACCTTGAGTTAAGGGTGTCTCAACTTAAGAGAATTTGAGTTAAGAGCTGTTGCTCAGCCTGGGTCTTACTTTCACATAAGAGCAGCATTTTGAGTTAAGAGCTACAGGGAGCACTAGCGTGCAAGTATAGGGCTTTAGGGTTTCAAGGGAGCAGCCGTGTGCTCTTGTCTGCTTTGGGAGATTTCTATCTGCTTAGTGGAATTTTTGGTTAGTTGATTTTGTGTGGTATTTAGTCCTGGTATGTTTGGCTTCATGAAGATGGGGGGGGGGGAGAGAGAGAGAGAGAGCAAGAGATAGAGGGATGAAGAAAATGATACTTCTGCCTCTTCACTTTGTGCTTGGTGCTTCCTTGCCACAACTTTGTGCTTCTACCATTTTAAAGTTGATCTTCCTTTTTATTGTTCCACATGAATGTGCATTATTTGTTATTTATAAAGTACATTTTCTTATTTAAAAACAAAACAAAATGGGGGCGGCCTTGGAGGACCAGAACTGATGAATAGAATTTCAATGGGAAAAGTCACTTTGAGATTAGAGTGCTTTGAGTTAAGAGCTCAGTCATGGAACACATTGAACTCTTAAGTCAAAGTATCACTGTAAATTGATTCCTACCTAACATGCCTTGTATGTTGTGTGAATATAATTCTATCTACCTTTGTTGGGAAGAACTCACACTGAAATCATAGGAGGTACTACATGATGTAGTACTCTAAGCAAATTCTCGGTCAGCCATGGAGACCTAGTGAGAAACCTTGGGCAAGTCACACTCTTTCAACCTGAAAGGAAGGCAATGGCAACTCTTCTGAAGAAATCTTCACAAAGATAGGATTGCCTTAGGGTCACCATAGGTTGGAAATGACTTGAAAGCACACAACAACAAGCTCACAGGGCTGATTTTTTGTGTATAGTAGGGGTGGGAATCATGTGACAGTCTGAATGCCATGGCAGTGTATCTCCTAACATTTCTCACTATGCACCATGCCAGTTAGTGTTGCTGGAAGTCAAACAAAATCCAGGACTTCTGTAAAGGGCTGGGCTAGAAGAATTTACCAGAAAGAAAGGTTCAGAATAATACTTTTGCATGAAAGACAGGGGAATCAAATCCTTCCCCACCAATCTGGAAAGCTAACAGACTTATGAAAAACCTTGGAAAACAACATAAAATTAACAATTAATAGACAAGGCAATAGGTCTTTCATTAAATCACTCCCCCACAGTCAATTTTGTATTAGAAATATTATAATTTATTCATTTTGATTTTGGAGAGATAAGAGTCAGCAGGAACTGCAGCCTTTAGAAATATATATATATACATCTTTTTCAGAGTTTTAAAGGAAGGGAAAAAAGTGACTTTTCTCAAAGAGATTCTGCACACTCTTTATGCCAATCTTTGTGCCAATTGAAAATGGAGAGAATGAGCTGGTAGATAGTTAGGGTCACCCAATGCTAATAATCAGGACAGAAAAAAAGGAGCTACAGCTTAAGCTGGATTTTGCACACTAGCTGTGCAGCTGAGTTTCCATGCCAAAAGATTGGAACATGTGCATGAATATACATTACATGGGTTACATTTTTCATATTTTAAATCTTAAACAAAGACATAAGCCAATTTCCTTCCAAACTGAAATCAATGCATTTTAAGAGAGGAGAATGTTTGTGTTAGCTGCCTTGTTCTCCTCCTAAACCCCCACATACACTGCCTTCACTAGTATCCTCATTGGAGATTTTCCCTCTCCAGTGGGCAGCTGTGAGAAGTAAGCGTGTTGATTGAGGCAGCAAAGAAGATGCAAATGGGAGCAGGAGGAAGAGGAAATTCACAACCCACTGACTCATGATTTTGGAGAGATGGGTGCATAGGAAAGAAGGGAGGAAGGTGTGGAGTGTATGAAAGAGTGAAAGGTGATGCAGAGAAATGGGGAAACATGACGGAACAAAGGAACTGCTGGGTACTCATGTAGATGGGAAAGTGGAGAGAGACAGCAGGAGGAGTTTGATATGTAATAGAAAACAGTAAGAAATAGAGAAGACAAGAGTTACAGAGCAAAGTATGGACTCACAGGACAGGTGTTTGTGGCCACAACATGAGGTTGCAGAGCTTCTCTAAAGATGATGAAGGAAACAGGAGAATTGAGATTATTGAAGAAGGTGGTGGTGGAGGTCATAATGATATTGTTGTTTAAAAATACAGCAGATTGAGAAGAAGAAGGAGGAGGAGGAGGGAGGGAGGAGGAGGAGGAGGAGGAGGAGGAGGAGGAGGAGGAGGAGGAGGAGGAGGAGGAGGAGGAGGAGGAGGAGGAGGAGGAGGAGGAGGAGGAGGAGGAGGAGGAAGGAAGGGAGGAAGGAAGGAAGGAAGAAAGGAAGAAGGAAGGAAGAAGGAAGAGGAAGGAAGGAAGGAAGGAAGGAAGGAAGGAAGGAAGGAAGCAAGCTCAATAACCAAGAAGTGGGAAAGATCTGCTGGTGAAATGCACTTCTTCCTAACCTCTAATCCACATGGAACACATTCAAAGAGAAGCTCCTTAACCAGAGTGAAGCAACATTTTAAGTATGCCAAGTGGTCTTGTAGCGTCTTAGGGACTGAGAATGACGTTGTTAGCATCAGCTTTTATCGATGAGTGCCTTATCTACATTGCAGAATTATAGCAGTTTGTCACCACATAAACTGCCATAGCTCAATGCCATGGAATACTTGAATTTGTAGTTCAGCATGATATTTACTCTCCTGAGAGAGTGCTTTGGTGCCACAACAAATTGCAAATCCCAGGATCCCATAGGCCTTCATCACAGTAGAGAATGTATCCACTTTAATGAATCCTGAACAAATCCTGTAGAATTCTGGGGTTTGTAGTTTAGGGAGGAGCCTTTAACAGCCTCACTAAACTACAAATCCCAGAATTCTGCAGAAGGCAGAAACCAAATTTAAAGTGGATTCATTCTCTAGTATGATAAATTAGAAAGTGGTGTCAAATTGCTATCATTCTGCAGTATAGCTGGACTATGAGTCTACCTCTTCAAATTTTAAGATAAACCTTGCTTAGAGTGGTGGTCTTCTCTCAAGTTATTTTAGTTTACATATAACAGAAAAGAATGTGTGTCACGTTTTAAACAGGATGTTCCTTTCTTTCTCAGTCGCCTTGAGTTGCCTTCGGGCTGAGAAAGGTGGCATAGAAATGCAGTAAATAAATAAATAAATAAATAAAATTTTGTCTTATTTTTCTGTGTGTCTTTGCCTTTCAGAAACCATCCTGGGAATGGGAAGGTTGTTGAAAAGAAAAAGGGATCAGAGAACAGGAACTGACCAGCAGCAGAGTAAAAACCCTGGGTAGCAAATACTGAACTGAGCCAGTACAATGGCTCGACATTTTCTCCTAAAAATTCTTGAGGTAATTATTCTTATTACTTGCTTCTTCTTAAGAATATTGTACATCAAATGTATATGCTATTCAGATGTCTATTGTGGAGTACTGTTGGTGGGGCATTTTGCTTTAACTTCACATTTAGGAAGCTTTTTGTTTCCTACATAGTTCATACATCTGTGTCTTTCTCTGTAATGCCACTCAGTCTGTGAGTGGATAGGTGGGAAATGGCATATTCCAAAAATTAATGCAATTGCTTTCTTTTCCTTGTGCGTCAAACAAGAATGGGACAGCAAATCTTTGATGGAATTTCTCGCCTGCATTTTGATAAGGTTAGAGTTATCAGGATTAAAATAAAAAGTATTTAGCAAAAGAGAGTGGCTTTTTAGCATAAACATACAACAGTGACTTTTCCCTTCTAACTCTCCTGTCTCTGTATACAAGGCATAAACAGCACCAATTCTAAAGGAGATGCAACAGTTTCCAGCTCTTTTGGTTTGGAATGGATTAATACCCAATGGAAACCCTAGAAACAGAAAGCTCTTGAGAAGTGCAGCTCCCCAAGATATTTTAAAGTGTGTTCCATCTAGGTCAGGGCCCAAAGCCTTACAAAAATAGCTTTCCAAACATACTGAATTTCTAGTTCCAGGTGGATAGTTGCTGGGAACGTCTGTGTGTGGAGAGTAACCAGATGGTTTGACAGATGAAGGAAGGCAGTGCCATATTTAAAATACAATTATCCCTTTAACTTACTAACATCTCACCTGCAGCTTCCAATGACTCTGTAAATGCACATATGTAGGGAATGTAACCAAGCATAGCCACAGTTGTACCTTTAGAAGCCAAGCTGTATCCAGCAATCCCTAGTGAGTGCTTTAACAGCAAATGTGAACATACGTAATCTATACTAAAAATCACCTTGAGACTATCTAAGTCTGTGATATTGACTCACTGCCCCAGGCTCTTTCAACAGGCTATGTGGCAGCAGACTTCTCATGCACAGAGACCATACCCCATGTACACGGTCCTTTCTGGCACAGGCAAACACATTTTCCATCTGGCAGTACCTGGACTGCATCGATGTTCTGCTCCCATTCATTGGCAGGCTGCTTGGATGTAACCATCTTGCTAAAGATGACTGAATGCCAACCTTTGGGTCCCTGGAGTGAACGTATTTCAGCATTTGTGCTGCCAGCCTGGGATATTCTAAAGAGAATTAAGTTTAATGATCTCAGCTATCAACGGGGTTGAATGAAGAAACAAAATAGCTCTTTTCTTCAGCACATCTGCCACGTATCATTTACCCCTCATTCAAGTGTTGCCAGAGGAACCTAAGTGCAGAAATCCAGTGTTGTTTCATCTATGCTGCCTGCCTATAGGATATAATGTATTTTCGTTGCTTTGGAAGAGAGGTGGAACATGAATCAAATACATAAATTATAGAGACTAGCAATTGTCATAGTGATGGAGGATTCTGGGATACTGAGCTATTTAAAGTTTTCCATAGTGGAGTTGGGGCAAGGGAAGGCTGAGCATCACAGATATGCGAAATATAGGGGATTGAGGAAGAGATGAGGATTGGAAACTACCCTGTATTCTGAGTAACATATAGCTTGACCCATTAAGTTCAAAATGGCACTGACCACTTCAGTTCCCTTTGATTTTTACCTTAGCTGGAAAACAAGAGAGTTCACACCTTGTAATGCAAGGTCTTAGTCAAGATTTAAATGCAAATGGAAAGAAATAGCAATATGAAGTTTTCTTCTTAACATATATAGACTCTGTTAATCAACACCCATAAATGTAGGGCACTTCCAGACATGACTTCAACCCGCACTGAAGCAGGTTTAAAAAACTACTTCAGCATGGGTTTAAGTCCTCACTGTCAGAGTTTTGTAACATTTTATCATTTCTAAAGCGACTATAAGTAATTATAAGGAACAGGACCATCCCAGCAGCAAGCATTAAGGACTTAATCATCTGGCTAGCATTGGATAATTTACAGCTAGGGTGGGGTAGCTTGAAAGAGTAATAAAAAAAGCACAAGCTTCTCGGTTAGTAGTAATTGGTGGTGTTGTGGTGAGTTGTCGTTGTCAGAGTTTTGAGCTGCTGGAGACAGAGATACAGAGAGATTGAAGGACTAATGAAGAAGACCAGAGAGAAGCTAATACTATGAAGAAGGTATGAACTGACTGGGAGTGTAAAGTGTTGGAAAGAAGGGCTGGAAAAGAGTCATGAACATCTGCTAGACTTTTGTAAATACTACTGTCTAAAGTTTTCTATAAAAGATACACGTTCTACTTTTCTACTCTCTAAGCAGAGGGGGAGTGCTTCTGCTGAAGATGAGGGTTGGCTTGTTGCTGAACAAAGAATCCCAGCAATTACAACACACCCAAAACTTGAGCTTTCCCAGGGAGGGTGGCTACATGTCAACCCGATAGCTATCAGGATGGCATGCAGTCACCCCAAACACCCCCCCCCCCCCCAAAAAAAGAACCCCTTAATTTTTTTTAGCTTACTTGGCAGTCATTATCTTCCTCTTTACACCTTCCTAGCACGAAGCAATGACACACCAGAAGACTGAGGGGGGGGGGGTCCTTGCTCCCCCCCCCCCAGTCTCCTGCTGCATCATTTCCTCGTACAAGAAGGAAGATAATGGAAGCTGGATACGTTTTTTAAAAAAACTTTTAAGAGGTTCTTTTGGGTTTTGGTAGGAGGGTATGGGTGCCCTCTTGGGAGCCCAAAAAACCGAGAGAGCTGTGTGGATTGGGCACAGGAATCATGTGACATCCACACAGGGCCCACACCTGGTAAGATCCGGATCTTATCTAATTAATCTTAATTAATTTGAAACAGTAGTTAACTCTGTATTGATTTTGTATTAATATGAAAACACAGCAAACTTAATGTAACATTTCAGATAAAAATTGTTTTCATTTTAATTTTTATTTAAAGTGTTCTATCTTCAAAAAATGCTGGTTGCTTGAGATTTCTGGTAAATTGGGAGTTCTGGTAAATTGGGTTTACCAAATACAATAAATTGGGAGTTTATTGTATTTGGTGGACTTATTAAAACTCTTTCATACCATTAACATATTTAGATTAGAGGCTGGTTTAGGATTAATATATTTGATGTCTACTCATGCCAATGACCCAAAATAATAATGTCTTGTTAAACCTCTCCAAAGATTTTAATTTCAGTTCCTTCTAAGCAAAAACAAAATCAGAAGAGCAGTTTGTGACAGCAAGATGGGCCCTGATAAATTTTGGTATGTGGTCATGTTGCAATAAAAGGAAATTTTGACAGCTTGGATGCCGGCAACATTCATGCAGAAACTTCTGCCAAACTGCAGATGTTCTTTACATCAATCCTCTCTCTTGTCTCACAGCGAGAACAAGTCCCAGTGGAGAGCTTATAATAATCAAAGGTTAAATGTGGAGAGGGAGACTAAATGTGAAATTTCAGGGCAATAAAAAGAATCATGTGTTGTGGCAGACTGTGAATTGCTTAATCAGAGGGGCAGACTGAGTTTCCACCTCTCCCACAGCTAGAGAGGGTCAAGGGGCCTGGGATATTGAGCAACCGCCACGGAGCAATGATGGAATACATAAAGTGCTCCCTAATCACACTGTGACACAGCCAAAACTTGGGGGGGGGGGGAAGAGAGAGAGAGAGAGAGAGAGCGCCAAAGTGAGGGGCTTCCTAACAGATTTAAACCACAGTCCTGGAAAATTGCTTTTTTGGATTACAACTCCCAGCATCCCAAAGTAACATTTGCAAGTTCTGACCATTAAAGAAACCATTAGACAAAGTCCCACTGGCAAATAAAAGGCATCCAGATCAAGCGTTCTCTTACCAGGGAGCAGTGCTATCTATCACTGCTGAAAGGCAATAAATCTAGTCAAGCTTCAGCACCTCTGTCCTCGCCTATGCGGGAGAGAAATGTACGGCAAACTGCATTATGCACCATAAACCTGTGCCAATGCACTGATGTATTCTTCTGATGCACAAAACACTGTTGCCAGCTCACCTCATAAATGTTAGGCCATGCACCTGGCCTGCAGCTAGCCAGTCTGATACAGAGTTCTCCTAGAAGCCGTCAGCTTTTGAGTTACATGCTGGGAGGAGTGGCATCATGGATGAATGGGTAGGTGAGACATTAACATTCTGTCACAGGCACTTGGCACAGGACCTACATCAACATGACATGGCCCTGCCACCTGCCAGCTCCAACTATATGTTAGTTTCCTTTTGGGAATGAGTATAGAAGACAGGAGGTTCAAAGATAAGATGTGCTTCTAGAATTCTGTTTTACGATACAGCTGATGGCAAATTAAACCTTCTCTGTACCATCTGCTTGGGACAGTGGTAAGCAAAGTGAGGACCTCTAGATGTTGTCAGGCCGCAGGTCCCACCAACCACAGGGAACATAGCAATGGGAAGGAATGCTGGCAGTTGCAGTTTAAAAGTTCTGGGTGGGTGACTTTTGCTCACTTCAACCTGGGACATCATGCACTTCAACATTTCACTGGTCACATGTGGCCAGGTAACATTGAAATGTGATCAAGATAGCAGCTAATATTTTTAATTAGGCAGCTAGAAAAAGCTGCAACAGTTTACTTTTGTCTGAGCCTACTGGAAGGGCAAGATTCTGCCCCTAACTCAGTTTACTGAGTTAATAGTAAACTACATCTGCACTTAGAAATTGGTTTGCAGTGCTTAGCGACCAACAAAGACAAAGGGGGAAAGGGGGAGAGAAAAGTGAAATATTTTTAAAGCAGCTGAAAAAAAATAGAAAGGCAGGATTCATTGGCACTGTCCCTGCCAAACTGGAAAATTTGGTAGGTATGGGATATAAGAAAATGTGCTGAATTAAGACAGACCATTTTTTTGCTCATTCTTTAATCCCCTAAATAAGTTGGTTAACTATAGGGCCATTTTCTTTTGCATATAACTGTTGACTGCTACATGAGCCCCTTCTCTTCCAAGATAAGACTATAAGTGACTAGGGAGGGAGTCGTTTTGGTGGTAGCATAGCTTGTAGGATAAACCTGATAGTCATTTTAGCACCAAGTAAAGCTTTTATGAGGTCAGTATGTTCTAGCAGTCTAAGTGCTGAACTGATACTTCAGTAGTTGTTGTATACTTTTATGTTGTTTCCAACTTATGGCGACACTATGGCAGACCTATTATGAGGTTTTTTGGGATTGAGAGAGAGTGATTCACTCAATGTCTCCCAATAGGTTTCCATGGCCTTGCAGACTTTCAACCCCTAATCTTCAGAGTCATAACTTTGATGCCCAAACCTCTGATGTTCTAACCACCACACCACTCCAGGACACCAGGGTTCAAATGCCAATTCAGTCAAGAAAACTAAGTGATCTTGAGAAAGACCAATCTCTTATATTTAGAGGAAGTAATGGCAAACCTCCTCTGAAAAAAAAAATGTCCAAAGGCCTCTACACACCCCCATCTCACCCCACAATCAAAAATAGGGTCACTATAAGCTGAAATTGACTTGAAGCCACATAACAACATTTTTTCTTGTCCTCTTTTAGGCCTTTGCACACCTTTAGATCAGATATTTAATTGTTTTAAGTTAAGACTGCTGCAGTACTAATTGTTATTATTAGCAATTTTATATCCATGCTATTATCTTTATTGTATGTTTAGATAGTATAGGCCACATTGAGAACCTATGGACTTCCGAATTGAGTATTAAGTTTCTGTTCACAAAAAGTGCATCAAGGAGAGACAGAGGAGTGAAGTTTGTGGATTTCATGAAGGGATGCTCACTCATCTTTCCTTGTAAGCTCCATTCGAGAACACTCCAGGGTATTTAAACATCTGTAGCACTACTGGTTGTGCTTATGGCCACCAGTTTCAATTTTTGCAGGATTAGGATTGTTAAATCAGCTAAAGGACAGATTGCCACTAGGCATTTGAAACAAAAGTCTCCATATCTGTGAAGAGCTATTTATCAATTTCATACACAATCTAAGTGAGTAATCTTGGTTCTGCACCAGGTTTGATCCTTCCAGCAGCAGCAGCAGCAACAACAACAACAAACAATTTTCTCATTGTAATCACATTTTGCTTTAGTAGGGAACAAGATATGCCTAGCTATCCCACCAATTAGCAAGTTTTTTAAAAAAAACAAGACACCCAAACACAAGTTAGTCCAAGTTGAAGCCTACTCCTACACTTTTGCTTCCTTACTGTCTTCTGGGATTGGAGTGGGTGTCAACACTTTTTTTTAAGTGTATTGTAAAGCAATTATGACTGAATTTTGCATGTGTGTGTGCTTTCATGCTGAGAACAACGACCAGTTCCTGTGCTTCTAATTATTTATCTGAACCACAGAAACAGCTGGAGTCAGCTAACTATCTCCTTCTGCCTTGATCAATGGAAATAAACTGGGGAACATTATGAGCTAGGGAAAGATTCTGCAATAAATCTTCCTTATAGACCTGAAAGGCAACTTATTGACTGCTGCAACAGAAGATTCAAGGTCTATCTACACCATATACTGTTATTCCCTCTCCCAATCCCTCTTCTCACCCCCATCATCATTACATTGTTAAAGCTCTGAAAGTCCTATAAGCAACTTGGCATGAAAAATGCTCCATCAGCATTGCTGGAGAGAGCTGAGCTTGGCATCCTATCTTCTCCAAATGTGGCCAGTATCTGCACTTAATGAAAGCCTTTATAAAATAGAGCAGCATATTACAGAACCCTCAAGATTAACATATTTATTGTGGCAGAAACATGTTTATATTAGAATGTATTTCATGTCATCAGCAAATATGGGTAAACAAACATGGATATAAATCTTGGAGTCCTTGTGGAAAACAAGTTGAACATGAGCCAACAATGTGATGTGGCGGTAAAGAACAATGTGATGTGGTGACAAAAAAAAGCCAATGTGATTTTGGCCTGCATCTATAGCAGTATAGTGTCTAAAGCCAGGGAAGTCATGCTACCCCTCTATTTTGCCTTGATTTATTTATTTATTTATTTACTGCGCTTATATACCGCAATTCTCAGCCCCAAGGAATACTGTGTCCAATTCTGGCACCACAATTGAAGGGATATGTTGATAAGCTGGAATGTGTCCAGAGGAAGGCAACTAAAATGATCAAGGGTCTGGAGAACAAGTCATAGGGAGGAAGCTTGTTTTCTGCTGTCCTGGAGACTAGGACGCAGAACAACAGCTTCAAACTACAAGAGATTCCACCTGTACATTAGGAAGAACTTCCTGACAGTGAGAGCTGTTCAGCTGTAGAACTCTCTGCTCCAGAGTGTGGTGGAGGCTCCTTCTTTGGGGGGTTTTGAACAGAGGCTGGATGGCCATCTGTTGGGGGTGCTTTGAATGTGATTTTTCTGATTCTTGGCAGGAGTTGGACTGGATGGCCCATGAGGTCTCTTCCAGCTCTATGATTCTATGATTCTAAATCTCTTAAGTATCTATCTATAATGCATATATAAAAAGGTGACAGATAAACATAAAAGATCAAAATTGTATTTTGCATGCTTCTCCCTTTCGCTCTGTCCATGCCACAAAACATTAATGTCACAGTCACAAGCCCCTTTGTTTTCTTCTCGGTGACACACCAAATCTATTCCACCTTTGGAGTTATTTAGGTCCTAACTTTAATTTTGAAAATGAAATCACTTGGTGACTAAAAAGATTGGCTACAGAAGAACTTGAATGAGAGGAATAGAAAGCTCTAATTTTCAAAATTTGGGCTCAAAGTTCAAAGACTGGCTAGAAGGGATTCCATTGTGTAATGTTTGTTGTAACAAACTGATGAACGTTGGCATTTTCTCTTCATGCTTTGGGGTTATTACATGCCTTCCTGGGAAACGCTCGTTGAAAGCCACTTTCTGTTTCAGATCCTTCTGAGTTGATTTTTTTTTCTTGAGAGAAGGACAAATTATTAGTACGAGCATATTTTATATGCAGAGAAGGAACTGAGATCACTAAGCTATCTTTTCCAACCCTTCCTCAGTGCTTCTACTGAGATCCCTTACATGGAAAGAGTGGCTGATGCCCAAGGCATCTAATCACCACTGAGGAGGAGAGAAAAAACATGCCATGCCAACTGCATGCGACCAAAAGCAATTCCCTCAAGATCAAGGTTGCCACGGGATGTGTCATCAATCATTCTTCTTGTCATCCTTCATTTACCATCCTTTTTGTGTCTCTCTCGCTGTCAATTTCCTTTTAACTTGTTTATTGAATTCCGTAACCCAAAATAACCATGAGAACAAATCAGAAACAAATTGTCAGGGTTAAAATGTCTTTCAGCCTTTGGGGCACAATTGCTTGTGTCAGACAAACATGTTAGGTTCATGTGTGAATGTTAACTTCTTTCCTTTTGCATAAATGTGTTTGTTGTGATCTGAATGTGTGGACAAAAACACATTTTTGTCTAAACCAGAGCTTTAAGAATGGGGGCACTGGAGGGAAGAGAGGGATCACCATCTTTTTAGAGGGCTATGGGGTAGGATGTATCTAAACTTTGTCTAAAAGTCCTTAGCAAGCAACAAACCTTCTATATGAATAGAGACAATAGTTAGCAATGGTCTTGATAAACACCTTTGGTGTTCATCCATATGTGGAGTGGGAAAAATACACCTCCAATTTAAAATGTTTAAAAGCAATGCTTTTGGATTTGGAAAGATTAGTCATTTATGAGAAACGTTGCCTGGGGAACGCTCGACTGTATTTACTCAGTCTTCGAGGAGGCTCTTTCCGTTTCGATCAGCCACAACCACCACTCACAAAGAGCTGATGACCTTGACCTAACAACACAAGCAAAATAGTTTGAAACAGTTGAAATCCAACTTACTCATGCCTTGAAAGATCTCTCCAGCTACCTGTAGCCTAACCCTGCCTGTAGCCTAACCCTGCCAAAACACAAGTATGTGCTTTCCATCTATGCAACCATGAAGCCAACAGGAAATTAAAAGTTACCTGGGAAGGTTAAGAACTTGAATATTGTTTCCATCCTAAATATCTCGGTGTCACCTTAGATCCAACACTAGCATATATGAAACACTGCTTGAAGACCAAGCACAAAGTAGCTGCACGCAATAACA